GTAATGAATTTTTCTTAAGTAAATAATTAACACATAATCGAATATTGAAATCCACTAATGGACATGAAAATGCAAGAACTGATATCCTTAATTAAGAGCAGTTAAAGTTTTTGTCTTCAATTATTAAATTGGGGAAAGTTAGAGCCCAAATGAACTATTTATGCCCATTGCAAGATAGGACCTTTTCTCTATGGGCTTTTCTTTTTTGCATTGTTTTTAAGGGGAAGGGTGTGCCCTGTGCCTTACCCTTCCCCTTAGTGGTTCCGCCACTGGGAGGAACTGACCTGGAAGATGCTGATGATGTTGAAGAAGTGGAGAAGCCAAACCCCTAATTACAAGTTTATTTTCGTGCTCAACACCTCCAATAATTTTTCTCCCAGACAACACTCTCGATTTTTCAAAATCCACAAAAAAAAAAACCGAAAGTAAACTGCGAATTGACTGCTTAAATTAGGAAAAGCTTTAATTTCCTTATAACCCTGAAAACCATTGACTTGACTGCTTCAATTGACTTGGAAATATAAGTTTGCAGAGCTGAATTCAACGGATATTCTGCAAAAACAAAACGCTTGCTTTTGGTTGGCAGTGCACCAAGGTTCTAGCATATGTCTCCATCGACAAGGATGCAGGAGATGTGAAGAAAATTTGGCCTTGGTCTCTCTGTTGCAACTTGCAAGGGTGAGTTTTCCTCTCTCTCTCTCTCTTTTATATATATATATATATATTTAATCATAAAATTTCCTCCAATATAATAACAAAAGAAGAGGAAATTTCTGTCCCATAGCGTTCTAGTATTAGTTGAGACATGGATATGTTTAATTTTGAGTTGATAATTTTGTTTTAGATTAGGAGAGACATACAGAACAATCTTTTTTACGGGAAGAAATGGTAATAGCTATTTTTTATTCTTTTTTCTTAATTTAATAGAAAATATGATCAAATCTCAAAGTTAATTTATCCATTCGAAACTTGTCAAAATTAAGTTTCTTAATTTAATTTTATTTTTTTGTTATGACTAAGGAATTGGAAGTATACACATTGAGTACTCTGAGCGAAGTTTACATTTAAGGAAAAAAGAAATCTACACACTATCATACTAGTGCTTCCTGCTTTGTATTTTGTTTTTTTATTAATTCATTTAACTTGTCTTGCAGCTCAATTATATAATATTAGAGCAATCAATTATAAGAGCAATGGTAGTTGGTGGGCGAAGGAATACTGTCTGCTTTCTTGCTACCTTTCTATCTCCATTTCTAATATCATTGCTTCTGACAAATGTTGAAGCTTTTGGTTATCCATCAACTGTGATGCCACCCGTCTCTTGGACTAACGTCGTCCCAACTGACTTTAGTTTTTGGGAATCAGCAGGGGTGAGACCTATCTTGGTTAATGGGAGTTTTGTTTGTGGCTTCCACTGCAAATTTGAAGGAACCGCCTGCCTCTTTGCTATTTCTATCTTCCCATCTAGTCTTGATAGCAACTCCAGCTTTTCTACACAAATGGTATGGTCTGCTAATCGAAACAAGCCGATTGGACTTGGAGCAAAATTACAATTTTCTCAAGAAGGGGATTTAACACTGCAAGATGATCATGGCACTCTAGTTTGGTCTACAAACACAACAGGTAAATTTGTTTCAAGAATGAAGTTAACTCATCAGGGTAACCTTATACTGTTTGATAGAAACAATAAGACGGTTTGGCAGTCTTTTGATCATCCAACAGACTGTTTAGTTCTTGGACAGAGGCTTGTTTCTGGGCAGAAACTGAAAGCTAATACGTCAGCCACAGATTGGACGGAGGGTTTATATTCATTTTCAGTTGATAGTTTTAATGGTTATTTTGTTGCTTCTGTAGGGTCAGATGCCACACTAGACTATTACCAATCCTTTGATTCTCAAAGAAAGAAAATGTCGCAGTTTTATGCTGAATTCAGTGACACTAATTTTGGTACTTTCACTTTTTCACGGGCTGGAGTTAGTTTTATACAATTAGGATTTGATGGGTACTTAAGGTCTTTTCGTTGGGTAGAATCAGAATGGAAGGAAGTCAGATGATTTGTTTAAGGATAGACTCAATCGATGTGATTATCCACTGGTGTGTGGAGAATATGGAATTTGTTCAGCGGGAGGAGGATGCAATTGCCCAGAACCAGATGAAAACAATACAGCGCACTTCAAGATGATTAATTCTGATCAGCCAAATCTTGGGTGTTCTCCTAATGTACCAGTATCTTGTAAGTCTTCTTCCCATGAAAGTCTTCTGGAGATCAGGAATGTTTCTAGCTCTGCTCGCTACCTTCCAGATAATTCTAATATAACGGACATTGAGAGCTGCAAGCAAGCCTGTTTAAGCAACTGTTTTTGCAAGTATGCTGTTTTTCAAGGCTATGATTTTCGTTTTGAACCATCTGCCTTTTGCTTCTTTGGATTTGAACCTTTGTCATTCAAAAGAGAAGGGCGTGCATGGTACAATTCATCTGTCTTTTTAAAGGTGCAGAGTTCAATCGCAGTGCAGAGCTCTCCAGGACATTTTCCACAAAGAAAGAAAAGAAGCAATATGGGAGTTATACTTGCAATCACTCTTGGAGCCACTTTTATGGGGTTTCTTATCTCCACTGTCTTTTTACTACAAATTAAAAAGGATCCAAAGGATGTTGAGGAGGATTATCTGGGTCACATCTCAGGAACACCCACGAGATTTTCTTATGAAGAGTTAAAGATTGCAACCAACAACTTTAGCAACAAGCTAGGTGAGGGAGGATTCGGTTGTGTTTTTCGAGGAACATTACCTTGTGGTGCTCAAATTGCAGTGAAATGCCTTGATGGTTTTGGTCCTGTAAAGAAGTCATTTATAGCTGAGGTTGAGACCATAGGAAGCATTCACCATTTCAACTTGGTGCGACTGGTTGGGTTCTGTGCTGAGAAATCACGTATGCTTTTGGTTTATGAGTACATGTGTAACGGGTCGTTGGATCAGTGGATCTTCTGCAAAGACAAAGCGCTTGCTCTTGGTTGGCAATGCAGAAGGAAGATCATTCGAGAGATAGCCAATGGTCTAGCATATCTCCATGGGGGATGCTGGCAGAAAATAATTCACTTGGATATCAAACCCCAAAACATCCTTTTGGATGAAAATTTCAATGCCAAGGTTTCTGATTTCGGGTTGTCTAAGCTAGTAGGGAGAGAGCAAAGCCAAATTGTGGCAACAATGAGGGGAACACCGGGTTATATGGCCCCAGAATGGTTGAACTCAATAATCACAGAAAAAGTAGATGTATACAGCTTTGGCATTGTTGTTCTGGAAATTTTATGTGGTAGAAAAAATGTTGATCGATCTTTCCCGGAAGAGGATGCCCATTTGGTGAGCCTTTTTAAGAGAAAGGTTGAGGATGGTCAATTTCTGGATCTAGTGGATAAGTACAATGAGGAGATGCAATCAAATGCAGTAGAGGTAGTGGAGATGATGAAAGTTGCGGCATGGTGTCTGCAAGGTGAATATGCTAAGAGGCCTTCAATGTCCATCATAGTGAAGTTCCTAGAGGGCAAAATGGATGATGAAACCGAATATGATTTCTCAAATCCACCACCACCGGCAGAAGTTGAAACTCACGGACACCAAATGGATGCAGCTGCAATTACTGCCTCTCCATTAATTCCATCTATTTTATCTGGTCCAAGGTGATGATATGGGGGAAGAGAAGAGACTTAACACGTGCTGCCATGGTAATACTTCATTTCTTTTTACTTTCTAGCTTCTGTTTTCTGTTCCAGAGCAGACAGTAGAATGCAAATTACAACTAGAATTCTTAGCTTGTGTTATAATATCTTTGAATTCATTGACTTATTTCTTGTATCTAACTACCTACTTAGCCTATCTTCCTTTATACATAATGTATTTTGATGGTAATATTTTATTTTTCAGCTAGAGTTTCTTGCAATGCCAAAATGAATTAGTTTTAACTGAAATTTTGTCTTTCACTTATTTAATAAAAACATTCTGATCACATTTTTTTATCTTACTCTTTTTCAGTGTTTGCTCGATCAACTTCATTTCTTCCTTCCAAATGTTAAGCAATTGAGAAAGACTTGACCACTCAATTAGCAGATCCAGGGTTAGAGATTGACGCTGAGAGAGAAACCGATGGATAAGCTAATTTCTTTCCTTGTGTGTGTGGTTTTTGGTTTTTTGGTCCATTACAAATTTGTCATTTTACATTGAACGGAAAACAGTTGGCAGCACTTCTGTTTTAGTTTCTGTGTGTAATGTAGTACTATTAGCTACTTCAGCTTCATACTGGTGTTGCACCTCTATTAATATCTAATCCTATCAATTTATAATGCTTGTTGTCTGAATGGTTTTTGGAAAGAATTTAGTTTTTAGTTGAGATTGGATTATATTATGCAAGGCCATTACGGAGTTTAGAAGATGGAAATTATTGGAATTCTTAGCTCTGTCTGGATTGATAACTTTGAATTAATTATCTGATTTATTAGCTCTGTTTAAATAATCTATTTTCTGT